GCTGACACCAATACTCCTTTATTTAGCCCTGTGCGCCGTGTCTTTCCTGAATAGCAGGCCTGTGGAAAATGTTGGTTGACTGGCTCGGAATGAGTCTACTTCAACGATTTTACTCTCAACGTCTCCCGTTTCAGAATGTGAAATGGGGCAGCTGCTATTTGGCAATTCCACAAAAAGTTAAAGAAAGAAATACCATGATGTCCCATTGATTCAATTCCTAGGTGCATGCCCAAGAGATTGTAAAACAGAGAGCTGCACACCAGTGTTGACTACAGCATCACGGGCAGCAAGCACGACGTGGGAACAACCCACATGTCTATCAACCGATGAGTGGATAAACAGTACATGGTAAATACACACAGTGGAAGGCCACCCGGACACAAAGACAACATTTTAAAAATGGAAGAAAACTGAAAACATGGTGAGTATATGATCTCACGTAGAGAAAGTTACCGATATAAAGAAAAGAGGAAGACTAAATCCTCCCCCTGGACCCGTAGGTAGCATCAAGACAGACAGAGAAAAGACTGAAGTTGTCAAGGGTTTCGTCTTGTGAGGATCCACAGTCAGTGCTCATGGAAACAGCAGCTAAGAGATCAAAGGATGCAGTGCTCTGGGTAAATCTGCTGCACCAGACCTTTAAAGTGTTGAAAAGAAAAGACGTTGCTTGGAGGACTAAGGGATGCCTGGCCCGAGCCATGATGTTTGCAATGGCTTCAGATGCGTGTGAAAGTTGGCCATGGAATACATACGGGAGACGGAAGAAGAGGCCATGCGTGTCAACTGCGGTGCCGGAGGAGAACACTCAAAGACCCACGGGCTGCCAAAAGAACACGCCTGTCCTGGAAGAAGTACAGCCAGGCTGCTCCTGAGGCGCCAGGATGGGGAGACTTTGTCACGCGTACTTTAGACACGTTATCAGGGGAGACCAGTCCCTGGAGAAGGACATCATGCTTAGTAAAGGAGAAGGGCAACGAAAAAGAGGAAGGCTTCAACAGGACGGGTGGACACAGTGGCTGCCAACAATGGGCTCACAGTAAGAGCCATGGAGAGGTGGCACAGGACGAGGCAGTGTTTCGTTCTGTTGTGCACCGGGTCGCTGAGGGTCCGAACCAACTTAACAGACAGTGCCTAACAAGACCGTGAAAACAGCTAGAAGTGTACCACCATACTCATAAACCCACACCCGACCCATGGCTGTCAGGGCCATTTCAGCTCCCGTTTCTCAGACTGCAGGGGAGCGGGGTCACCGCATCTCCCCCCTTCAGTCGGCAGAGGGTTGGCAGCACCTACCGGTGGTTAGCATCCGACCCTTACCCGAAAGCATTAGACGAATAAAGACAGAGTAGATGAACAGTTACCAGGAGCGGGGAGAAGGTGGGAGTTATGACTAAAGGACACTGAGTCTCTGTTTGGGGTAACATAAAATTTATGGCAGTGGAGAGCAGTACAGATGAATGTAACTTAACATCAGTGAATTGTAGGGTCAAACTGGCAAACTCTTTGTTATAAATTTCGCCACAATAAGAGTAAGAAAGCTTACACTTTAGCAACCTGTTCTACAAGATCTCACTCCTCTGTCCTCTCCGTTCCTCCTCCCCAAACAGGTGCCCCAAGGAAATCTCGGGGATGGGCAGACACCGTGTTAGCAAACCAGATCCAGGCTTACAAAAGATGAAGGAAATGAGAGGCATGCAGAGCGCCAGGCTGGAAAGAGACGAGCAGGCCCCGCACACCTCTCTTCAGGAATAACTCTCTTATCTCCACTCACGTGTATCTCATCTGCAAAGGCCAGGAAGTAAGAGGCTGTTCTTGGCTCTTTGGGCTCAAAATATCTAAAGAGATAAGAAACGACATGACAGTGTAAACTACCTCTGGCTCTGGAGTATATAAAGTACCCAAAACCAAGAACCCACTGCCAGCGAGGGGGCTGCAAATCACAGTGTCGCCATAGGACAGTGCAGAACTGCCCCATCGGGTCTCCACGGCTGGAGTCTGTGTGGAAGCAACTGCCACATCTTTTTCCTCTGCAGCAGCTGGTGGGTTCAAAGTGTGGGCACTGGGGTTCGCAGTCGAGCACGTCACCACTGGGCCACCACTGCTCCTGCTTCCCCGATCACAGCCATTGCCACTCATGCTACTGGTCCTAACATGCATCTTTTGCTTGTCTGGACGCTTGTGAAATGCCTACAGCTCTGTATGCATATACGCAGATGTGCTGCAAGCCGTGGACGCCATACTTACTCAGAGACGCTCTGTGGGGCACAGCAGAATTGCCCCCAAGGTTTCTAAGACTTTTATGAAAACCAATGGCAACACCTCTCTCCCACAGAACAGTGGGTGGGCTCAAACTGTCAACCTTTTTGGTTAGCAGCCAAGTGGTCTAACCATTTTGCCACCAGGGTGCCCTGCATAAAGTACACACAAGTAAAACGGTTCACACATGTTTATGTTTATTATTGACAAATACTGGAAGGTGTAGCACACCTTCGGGGCCCGGTGGCAAAGAGGTTACAGCCCTTGGCTGATAGCCAAAAGGTCAGCCTCTGGCTTTCTGGAAGATTTACAGCTCTCAGCAGTGGGATAAAAAACACACAAAAAACCTCCCTGCCCCAGAGCCAGCCGATGAGTCTGAGTTTCCGAGATTGTAACTCTTTATGGGAGTAGAAAGTCCCGAGCAGCTGGTGGTTTCAAACCACTCACCTTGCAGTTAGCAGCCCGACATTTAAGATTTAACCACTATGATACAGTGGGTACAGGGCTCCAGTGTACCTGTAAAGGGTGTTCTGAAGATGTGGCAGCGATTTTTAGATGTGATTTAGAAATAAATTAACCCCTCTCCCCCATCAAAGAAAAGCACAGGTATTACTCATATGGGAAAAGAGAAACTGAAAAGTCGGTCCAAAGAAAAATTGTTTGACAATTTTCATTATTCTTTTAAAAACGAAACAAAAACATATATATGTATCCTTACCACTTAGCAACAGCAGTTGAGGCACAGAGTTTGTAGAAAAAACACCACATTTGGAAGGGATCCATCGAGAAGCTTTATTTTTCTACCTGGAAGGTGTGGGTGACAGGCCCTGGGGGCCACGGAGCCGCAGCGGCGAGTCACCGTGTGGGACAGGGGTGGTGGGAGGTCACAGGCTGGAAGACAAGAGAAGGACACAGAGAGACGGTTGGCGATTTGTAATGTCCGTGTTTTAAAACAAAACTGGCAACATTTTGGCAGCCTTCAAATAACATATATCACTGCTGAAATTCATTTTTATAATTGAGGATTTGGCCAAGAGCTTCCTCATCATGAACACTCCACTGTACCAGGATGGACTTATGCAGAGAGAAGACCATCAAGGAAATGAGAGCAGGCCCTTTAAGAGTTCAAATTTAAATGTTCCCCCTCTCGGAGTACCCTTGAAGCAGTGGCACATTCTCTCAGCATCTTGAAGGAAATGCTCAACATTAAGTACCTGTTTCTTGGAGGCCATGGCTGCTGTAGGAAGAGTGCTTCCGCAGAACCTGGGGACACAATGTTATGGGCCTAAGAGTAATGACCGGAGAATGATCTTCCAAAGATCCACCAAGAAACAAACTTTCCACTGATAATGATCGTGGCAATGTCTATCAAAAGTAGGGATGCATTTACACTTTTAGATGTGGTCTAGAAATAAACTAAGCCCTCTCCCCCACCCTCCTGGGACTGTAACATACAGATGTAAGTCTACACTCACAAGATGACAAACGTGAATAAGGCTGTGAGGGGAGCATTGGTAAAAGTGAAATCTGTACAATAAGCTGAAGGAACTGGTTAAATCACCAATAATTCATAAAAATCACTGTGGTTTACAAAAAGACACGAACTGCAATTATAGAAACCAAACTTACAGCCAACAACTTCATCCCAGCTCACAGCTACCGTACAAAACAGGGTAGAACTGCTCCTGAGAGTTTCCAAGACTGTAACTCTTTCCAGGAGTAGGACACACTGTCTTTCTCCCACAGAGCAGCTGGTGGTTTCAAACTTCAGACCTTGCAGTTAGCAGCCCATAAAGACTCTTTATATTTCTAGGAAACAATTACCAGGCATATGCAAGGCAGAGAATTTACACACCCATATAAACAGATTCTTACTACTGTCGGGTGCCAGCGAGAGGATTTTAGACTCAGGGAACCCATGGGGAAAGGGCATCTCACACCGGAATGTCTTGGCTGTAATCTTATTTTTTTTTTTTTTAACATTTTATTAGGGGCTCATACAACTGTTATCCCAATCCATACACACATCAATTGTGTAAAGCGCATTTGTACGTTTCTCAAAACATTTTCTCTCCACTTAAACCCCCAACATTAGGTCCTCATTTTTCGCCTCCCTCCCTGCTTCCCCCTCCCTCATGAGCCCTTGATAGTTTATAAATGGGTATTTTGTCATATCCTTGGCTGTAATCTTTATGGGGGCAAATCACTAGGTCATTTTCCCCAGCAGAGGTGCTAGGTGGAGGTGAGCTACCAACTTTTTAGTTAGCAGCCAAGCACTTACTCAGTGACACCATCCTGGTGGGGTGGTGGGGGGGTGGTGGTGGTGGTGTGTGTGTGTCTAGTTCCTGCGTAATGGAAGCAGTAGTACAGCAATGGACCTATATATTGAAAGTGTGTGTGTGTGTGTGTGTGTGTGTCTAGTTCCTGCGTAATGGAAGCAGTAGCACAAGCAATGGGCCTACATATTGAAAGTACCATGGACGGCCAAAAGAATGAACAAATCTGTCTTGGAAGAAGTACGACCAGAATGCTCCTTAGAAGCAAGGATGGCTAGCCATCATCTGATGTACTTTGCACTTGTTGCCAAGAGACCAGTCCCTGGAGAAGGACGTCATGCTTGGTAAAGTAGAGGGGCTGCGAAAAAGAGGAATGTCATCAATGAGACGGATGGAGCCAGTGCCTGCAACAATGGGCTCACACACAGCAGTGTGTTAAGTGGGTGTGTATGTCCACACACATACAAGAAGATGAATCCCCCAGTTGTAAGGTTAACAAGCTCAACTGCCAATAGAAAGGCTGGAGGGGAGGCTGCTTCCAGAGCTACCTTGCAAGAAAGACTTGGGGATCGACTTACGAAAAATCAGCCATTGAACCCGCTACATGAGGAGCACAGTTTTACTCTTTTACAATTTTACAGTTGCCGTTGCAACTGTAACTGCTCTGTCTTTTTAACAACTGCAAAGAAATAGAAAGACCCAGACATTCACAAGCCTCCGTGTTAAAGTTCTAAAGGAAACGAGGAAATGGCTCCAGACCTCACTCAGGCTCAGCTCCGTGTGGCAGCACGTTTGGGTTTGGGGGGCTGAGCGTGCTCTTGTCTCCTCCTCCTCCTGTGCATTGAAACGCATACAAAATACTTTTGAAACTGGGAATTTCATGCATCCGTTTTAGCTTTCTCAACCGTAAGTGGCGATGATCATCACAGCCGTTCGAAGAACAACAGCCAGGACTCAGCAAGAGTTCCCAGCCTGGCTGTGCATGCAACACAAGGAGGGCTCAATTAATACTGTTCTAAGCTGGCGAAACAATAGAAAATGTCTTTTCCAGCCACACTGGGCTTTGACTGAGAAACAACTGCTTGACGCCTCTGAAAGTGAAGAAGACGAAAACCGGTGCTAACCAAAGTTTGCGTTTGTGGGGGTCCTGCCATAGACGCAAGATAGGAGAGGAAACCCGATGCTCTCTGGTCACTTCCAGCTCATGTTGGGCGCTGTCGCGCTGGTCCCAACGCGTCGCAACCTTGCCTACAAAATACAACACCTGGCCTGGTCCTGTGCCATCTTTGTTGCTCTGAGCCATTGGGACCGTCAATGTGTCGATTCACTTCATCGAGGGGTCTCTCTCTTTGCTCACCTTCTACTTTACCCAGCATGCATGGTGTTTCCCCCCGGGGACTGGTCCCTCCTGCTAGCATGTGTAAAGTGTGTGGCATGAATTCCTGCACGGTCACCTCACTTCTAAGGAGCCCTATCGCGCTACCGACTCTTTCCCAGAAGGCGGGTCAAGGGCATCGTGTCTGGTAAAGGAGAACTCAAAACAAAACAAACAAACAAGCAAAACTTGCTGCGATGGAATCCATTCCAACTCACAGCAGCTCTGTGTGTTTCTGAGATTGTAAATCTTGACCTGAGTGGAACGCCTCACCTTTCTTCCAGAGGGACTGAGCGTTCCAAACTGCTGACCTTGCTCCTAGCAGCCCAACCTGGAACCCGCTCTGCTGGTACAGTAAATAAAGGCATGAACAAAACTCACTGCCATCGAGTGGATTCTGAACGAAAGCCTCCACTTCCTCCCGAGGAGCGGCTGGCTGGGGGTTCTCAGCCCCTCACCTTGTGGTTAGCAGCGCACACCACCGGGTCCCCCCTGGTAAAGCGGAGGGCCAGTAAAGTCAATAGGCTGTCTGTCAGTCAGGAAGACGTCTCAGTCAAACAGCCACTGTGAGGATGGCACAGTGGTTCATTCTGTTTACATAAGAAGGTAGCTGTTGACTGGGGGCCGACTTGAAGGAACCCAACAAAAATGGATGCATGTACACATATGTACACACACACACATACACACAGCATGGGGGTGGGGGCTTCAGAAAGTCCATGAAAAGAATAAAACTGAAAGCCAGTGACGTTTTTCCATCAACTTTTTGAGCCCCACCCCACCCCCGCATATAAGCGTCACTAGTCTGCTTCCTGAGCACCCAGCCTCAGAGCCTTCCTCTGAGGGCTTTTCTGGTAAGCAGACATCAATCGAGCCCGTGGAAAACACCATCTTCATCTGGCCCCCAAAAGCTCATCGAGTGAAATCTAAGATCCACACGACGCTCGTTTGTTTTTGAGGTGAGGGGACAGTGCATTTGGAGTTCCTTCCACCAGGTCAGACTGCTCGCCAAGCTTTCTACTCGGCGGTTCTGCAAAGATTGTGTAACAGTGTGTGATTAAAAAAAGGCCTGATTCGTGGCAGGCGGGTAACTGGTTTTGCCACCACGACAATGCACCTGCTTATGCAGCCATCTCAGTGTGCCAGGTTTGGCAAAAAAGAAAACAGCATGCCTCTCTTGTCCCATGTACCTTACTCACCTGACCTCGCTCCGTGCAACTTTTTTGTTTCCATGAATGAAGAGGGGCACGAAAGGACAGCGATTTGAAGACATAGAAGAGGTGATGAAATAAACAAGGGAGGTGCTGTCACTCATTCAAACAGATGATTTTGAAAAATGTTTCCAAGAATGGAATCTCAGATTTGACAAATGTATTAAGTGTAATGAAGGGTACGTTGAAGGTGATAAGGTTTTTGTAAAAAAATTTAAATACATAGCTTTGAAAAAAAATCCTGGAGGTACCCCTCCTATATCATTCCATAGTTCAATTATGTCAAGCAGTCTTGTACAATTGCTACCAGTTTCCAAACATTTCTTCCTTCCTGGACTCCTTGACATTGTCTCCCTTTTATTCCACCAACCCCCCACCACCACTTGACACCCCTCCCCCCATATTTCATAGTATAAATTATAAGCAAAACCTCCAGAGCTGGACAACTTTTTAAATGTTCTTTTGAACAGAAAGTGGGTTGTTTTTAAGGAGCTTTCACTGAATAAACACCCACTTGTCACAAGAGTGGACATGTCCCATTAACTTATTGTTTTCAGAAAACAATTTCTTTGATCACAGTATGAAATTCTTTAGACATAAAAGGAGTACTGTGTCCACATAATACTTTTATCTTCACTGATGTAACAAGAAGTTGGCGGTTTCCTTTTTGTGGTAAACAATGGACCATGGGAAACACATCCCCCACTAAATATCTTTGACATTTTTCATACACAATTGGGTCCACTTCCTAATAATTGCCACTTACCAGAAATGTGAAAGATAAAAATCTATCATGACATACAATAAGATGAAGCAAGCCAAGGAGGAAAAATGTAGGGGAAAAAATGACTCCCCGGGCTCCCTGCAGAGGATGGGGTGGGGCAAACTCCAGACTCAACACCAATCGTTTCCAAATGCTTTCCTGAAAGGGAGAGTATGTTTCGTGGGGGACTAGCATCTCACATCTTTTCTTTTTTTTCCCTTCC